ATCGACTCCGCACACATGGCGGAGCTGACCGAGGTTTGTGTCTCGTGACTATGCCATCTGCTTAAAACTCTGTGTTATGTGTGTTGTTTGCATCTGTAACGGCGGTGTGCATTTCAGCTGATGCAGGAGGTCGACCGATGGGGCGTTGACATTTTCAAAATATCCGACTTTTCACAGAATCATCCTTTAACCGTCGTTGGGTACACGATCATAAAGGTACGGTATTACGCTAGTTGTAATGTGGTATCGTTGTGCGTGCTCCAGTAGTAGCGGTAACGGTATTCAGCAGCTTTATCGCCTTAACTACCGTTCGACTTGATCGAGCGATATTCAGCAACTTGACTGATAGCGCATGTCTTCATTCTTCCCATCGTCGCCTTCCTTTGTCACGGTGCTCCTGATGGGCAACAGATGACAACGACGCTCCGTATTTTCGGTGGAACACGAAACAACGCTTTTTAGTGCAGTTGTGTGAACCATGCAGGCTCCCGGTGAACTTCAGGAACAGGCAATCGCAGCGCAGAACATCAACCACGTAGTAGAGCCGTAGTCTGCCTTTCGGTGTTGCTGTTTAACTTCGGCAATAAACAGTACTTGACGGTACGTTTGACTCATCGCCGGACTGAGTGACAGACACGTTATCTGCTGACCGTTTAGTGCTTGAATAGCATCCAGTCATCCTTGCTCAATCACACGGCGCTACGGAACCGACTACCGTTTCACGCTAGCGGCCGTCAGTCGGCAATCAACTAACTAGCTCGTCCATCTGTAATGGCTATGTTCTAACTGTTCAGATATCTGTGCGTCAATTTTCACAGCAGATACGATGCTGGCATACGTCTTTGGCATCAAACATCTTTGGGTCTGTTGCAAATGTATTCGCTTCTATGCTGTTACGTAGAAAAAAGAAGGCTATAGATTACCGTCGATGTCATGTTCATAAGACAGCTTTTGCTAATACGAATCATGTATTATTTCTGCGTACGCTAACGGTTTGGTGACTTCTTTCGTTTTTTCATTTTAAAATTAATTAAATTGACTTTAATTCAAATTTTAATTTAAATTCAACATAAGTAATGTTACAAATCAATCAAACGGGTGACAGCATTTATTATTCACACAGAATCGGGGACTGTTGAAGTCGTTTTCGATCAACCCTACGACATTAGTCACGTATTTTCTTCATTTGGAAGATCACTACAGACCGAACGCCTATCATAACAGAATTCACGCTGCTGACGTCACTCAGAGTCTTCATACGTTGCTTCTGTCTCAAGCCTTAGAGGTAACGCACGGCAATCGCGGTCTGACGCAACGGTTACTTGTGCATTCCACGTTGTTGTTTTTTTAGAATGTATTTACTGAGTTGGAAATCCTTGCCTCCGTTTTCGCTGCTGCGGTTCACGATGTCGACCATCCGGGGCTGACCAACCAATTTTTAGTCAATACCAGTAAGTCGCACTTTAACTTTTACTGTATTAAATATGAATATATTTCACATCAGATTTTGTAAATCTGATTTTCATGCACTGTAGTATTCGCATTATCCGTGGTACAACTTGTCCTGACTTATGGGAACGCACATAGACCTTATCTAGCATTCTCTGTGTTCCGCTTTCTGTCTCCACTACTGACCAAATAATTTGAGCACCTGTGTTGTGACCGATAACCGGTAGGACACTGATGGTTAAGCAGAAGCGAATTGTTAACTCTTCAAATTTACTGGTTGTCTGTCAGGCATCACGTGGCTGGCCTCTTCTCATAGCGTAATAGAAATAAAGCTCCTGATTCACATCTGTTAATCCAGTCCGTTGTCCAATTTGTGGCCCCTGAACGAACACGCTGCAGATTTATCGCTCCGTTGCTGTTTCTGTGACCATCAACTAACAGAACACCACTCAGAGTGCTAGTTCCTGCGATTAGGACGCAAAAACCGACCAGTTTCCTTTCTTCGCCCGTACATGTAGCTAACTATCGGTTTCTCCTGTTGATTTCTAACGAGTTTATAGGATCTGCCCCTAATGGTCGACGATAAACGGTAGCAGAATTTTCTTTCGGACATCAGAGCAAGAATATTATTCACTCCAACTTTTCCGGGTTGTTGAAGGTTTAAATACTTTCACATCGAATACCTGTCGTAGTAAAGAAAAAAGGCCTTACTGTCACGTAAGTAGCAGAAGGACAGCACGAAGTAGTCAAGTAAAAATTTATTAGGTGTATCTACATTTTTTAGTATACCACAACTTTTCCATGATGATCGAAATGTGTTCGTAAGCCAGAGTATGTCATATGACGCATAAGACATTCGAGAACATATTTCATGGTGCATTTCATGGCCACCTTGCTCCAGCTCCCTCCCAGCAGGCCACGGTTCCATAGCATTTGAGTATCTGCAGAGCGAGGTACATCTTGTATCAGCTGTTTGTTGCAGTCATGTGGTGCTTGATACCAACCATGTTTTATCAGGTAGTACGGCGTTTATGCGGCCGCATAAATATCAAAATGTGTTCATCAGGCGGAGTATGTTCAAATAACGGACAACCCTTCCAAGGAGAAAGGGTTTCGTCGGTGGTGTCAGCCGTGAAATCCGGTTTTTAAAAGTTGTGCATTATTTTACATACTCCGGCGTATAACCATCTTTTGTTATTTATGCGGCATCACAGAGATTCAGTATTGCTGGCCATATTGAAAAATGTATAAAATCGGTTTGTTTGTAAACAACGTAAGCAAGTTGGTCAGTCATGTGATTGACTAGTACCGATTTCGGCTTGTCTCTCACGGGCCTTCCTCACGGTGGTCCGGGATTATTTCCGTGGTTCGTTCCCATGGTCCGCAGTTGTTGTGACGTTTAGAGCCAAGGGTGTGATGTTCGCACATGCAGCTGCTTAAATAGGTTTTTGGTAACGAACTTCATACGGCTTGTTCAAGCAGCGCAAATTCGTATCTCATGTCTCGGTTGACATTTTCGCATGATTTCATACCTAAAGCCTCTTTGATTCGACCACTGGGAGACTGCAGATTCCACGCGCATCGTTAACCCATTGTGGACGAAGCTTTTCAGTTTTCATATCTAAAAAACTCTCATATATGATTCTCTTTTGTTTTTATCCAAAAAATATTTATCCGTAAACGGTCGATAAATTAAGCAACCACTAGTCCATAATGAGTTAAAGAAACAAACTGGCTGAACACGGGAATCAAAGAGGCTATAGCTACCCAATCCTGTGAAAATCTTAGTCGGGACAAAAGATACGAACTTCGCACCGACTGGATAAGCCGTATGAAGCTCGTTACCTAAAAACAAGTTAGGCAGCTGCATGTGCCAAAAGCATACCTTTGGCTCTAAACGCAAAAACGCTACGGACCACGGAACGAACTGCGGGAATCAACTCGGATCACTATGAAGAAAGCCCGTGAGAGACGGGTGGAAACGTCGGTACTGGTAAATCACACATCACTGACCAATTTGTGTGCGTTGAGTACAAATAAACCGGTTTGATACATGTTTCGGTATAGCCAGAAATACGGAATGCACATTGTATTGCCAAATGCTTGCTTTGTATATACATTACAAATACGAAGAGTTCCTCAAAACATGGTTTTTAATGTGCCCGCCCCCTCCCCACTATCAAATGCTCTCCTTCCCGAAGCAGGAGAAGCATAGGCGTGGTGCAGTACCCCGCGAAATCCGGTTTTGTGGGAGATGTGCGTTATCCATGAATGCGGTGGCATTGCGTTTGTCTGTATTCTTTAGTAACATTTAGAGATTTAATGTTAATAGTTAAGAATGCATCCATTCTACAAACAGCGGAATATGTCGTACAAGCGGACCGACCAGGTTTTGACTGCCAGCTTTCATCAGTCAAAATGGCATTATTCCTGGAATGTTGCGCCAGTCGTCTAGATTCTGACCAGTCAGTGCCTTCATGGCATGAATGTCAAGTTGTCGTGTAGCTGTGGTTGCCATTCTATAACTGTTTGATTTCTTGCACCTTCAAAGCGCTTAATGAAGCATATTGAAGATTTAGACATTTCTACTCAACACAATTCCTGTTCATGTTATTGTCCGATGATTGTTAGTAGTCATACAAATAAATCCACTAACTGGATGTACTGCTTCTTGGTCTGTCACTAGCTGACTCATGTTCTGTGACTAGAAGTCTTAACGATCGTGAAGAGAATTACAATTTGAACAGTTGTAATAAGGTGTTAAGGTTCGATGCTTGTTCAGGTGAGAGACGATCTTTTATTTTTGAAACTAATGATCGAAGCTTAACTTTCAACCTTAAAGCTACACAGATATTTGCCGAATTTAAAAAATCTCGTAATGGATTCAACATGTAGGATCTGAGACTTCCGAATCTGTAGGATGACAACTAGTTGAAATTATTTCCGCTGACAAAAAAATGCAATCGTTATAATGAACAAAATAGATTACTACCAAAATGCAGAAGCAAATTCGACTACGCGGTTAATACAAGGAAGGGAAACGGACGAGTCTAGAAAACTGCTGAAAGGAATGAGAATGTCGAGTTGGGCAAATGAAGATTTTTATTTTATCCCAAAAACCGACCAAACACCTAAAATATATGGACTATCAAAGGTTCATAAAAGTAATGTGCGTTTAAGGCGAACAGTCTATTGTGTTTCAACGCCAGCTTACAGCCTAATCTAAATTACGAATTTATTATGACCACTGGG